GGGGGAGCGTGGACCTTCGGCAGTTCGCTCGATGACGGAGTTGAGCACTTCATGTCTAGAGGCAATGTAATTGTGGTGAAGATCAACTATAGAGTGGGTCCGCTTGGCTTTCTGAGCACCGGCGACAACGTACTTCCTGGAAACTACGGCCTCAAGGATCAGCGTCTCGCGATACAATGGATCAAGCAGAATATCGATCGATTCGGCGGGGATCCAGAGAAAATAGTTCTTCTTGGTTTCGGCACAGGCGGCTCGTCAGTCCATCTGCATCTAATGCACAAGGATATGGAGAAGTTAGTCAAGGGCGGCATCTCCATTAGTGGAACTGCCACTTCTCCCTTTGCTGTGCAGTCCAGTGGGCATGAGCTGGCATTCCAATATGCCAAAAAGTTGGGCTGTGACAAGCTCAAAACGTCAATTAAACTGAAGGAGTGCCTGAAGAAAATGCCAGCCGACAATTTAGTTAGTGGTATAAAATATCTGCAAGTCTTTGAATATGGAAATTTCGGCGCATTTAGTCCAGTCATCGAGTCCCCCGATTCGGAAAAGCCTTTCCTCACCGAATTTCCAATCGAGACCATCAGGAGTGGAAGATCTGCCCAGGTGCCGTGGTTGGCCAGCTACACCACGGAGAATGGCATATACAACGCCGCCCTCTTGCTGAAAAGGAGTTCCAATGGTAGAGCGAAAATAGAGGAGCTCAAATCTCGCTGGAATGAACTGGCCCCCTACTTCTTTTCATATCCTTACTTTTGGAAGCGATCTGAGAGGGATAATCATTCCCGGAAGCTAAAGCAGCAGTACCTCGGCTACAGGAACTTCAGTGTGGAGAACTATTTCGACGTGCAGCGCATGTTCACAAATGAGCTATATAAGAATGGCGTTGAGGCGGCATTAGACGCACATCGAAAGTATGGCGACAGTCCCGTCTATGCTTATGTGTACGACAACCCTGCTCAAAAATCCTTTGCACAGTTACTGTCGAGGCAGAAAAATCTATTCTTGGGTAAGTCTCGTACACAATGTCTAAAGCAAATAACCCATAATTTCCATCAACAGGCACGGGCATGGGCGACGATTACTATTTAATGTTCAGCAATCCATTGCGCAATCCTCTGAGAGTTGACGAGAAAATTTCCTCAGTTAGGCTAGTCAAGATGGTGGAGCAGTTTGCCCAAGCCGGCAACTTTTCCTATGAGAACTGCGTGTTTCCAGACAACCGAGGCAAAAGGAACTTCCAGCTGTTGGCCATCAAGCGCACCTACTGCAAAGTTATGGAAGCAAAGTATTTACCTGATATAGTCTCCAAAAACCTACCGCGATCCCCTTTAATCTCGTATTAAGCACTTCTGCAATTCCAGAACTGTTTCTATTATTTATCGCCATGAAAATATTTAATATATGTTTAAGGAAAAACTTAATCACAAATCATTTACCACTTCACAGTTATGGGTGACTATTAAGAGAAGGAAGAATAATGTTTTCTTTGTTACATATCTAATTTATAAGATCTTTGCTTGCATTTAAAAATGATAAACATATTAGACCTACGTTGGGTTAGATAATGGTTTGGCTTGATAAAATTGAGCTATAGGTGGCTTGGGTTAAGTGTTATAACTCTAGTTGCTGAAAGCAATTTATAGGGTTACATATCCAGTATATTTACGAATCCGGGTTCAAGTAACTAAAGCTGTAACTAAAGCTGTTCTTTGCCCTGAAACGAGAATTGACTTAGTTTCTAGCTAGCTTCATGCACTGATAATCAAAAGCTATTAATTTCTTTTCGAGCATTTAAAAGTCGCATCTTAAGAAATGCGATTTGACAGCAGCGTATAAGGCAGCCGCTCGTAAACGAAGTGCCAGGGCATTTGCCCTAGATTGGGCCAGAGAACAGGTGTCAGAAATATTTGTCATTTATTCGCTTTGCGCTTTTTACTCCCATTAAGTCATTGGAACGAATCCGACTTCGAGCTGCTACCCATGTGCTAATAAATAGGCATAGATACACTTTTGCTAAAACAGTTGAGCCTGGAGCACACCATGAACACATTCACCCTGGCAGTCGTCTTGCTCTCGGCATGCTCACTATCTGCCTCAAGTGATCCGCTCCTCATCGAGCTGATGAATGGAGAGCTACGTGGACACGACAACGGTCTTTACTACAGCTACGAGTCGATACCCTACGCACAGCCGCCCATCAACGACTTGCGCCTGGAGGATCCACTCCCATTTACTGAAAGATGGACGGAAACCTTTGATGCCACCACGCCGGCAACTGAGTGTCTGCAATGGAGCCAATGGATACAGCAGCCAGACAAATTGACAGGCAGCGAGGACTGTCTGACTGTCAGCATTTTCAAGCCCAAGAACGCTACTCGACAGAGTTTTCCGGTCGTCGCAAGTATTTTCGGGGGAGCGTGGACCTTCGGCAGTTCGCTCGATGACGGAGTTGAGCACTTCATGGATAGCGGCAATGTAATTGTGGTGAAGATCAACTATAGAGTGGGTCCGCTTGGCTTTCTGAGCACCGGCGACAACGTACTTCCTGGAAACTACGGCCTCAAGGATCAGCGTCTCGCGATACAATGGATCAAGCAGAATATCGATCGATTCGGCGGGGATCCAGAGAACATAATTCTTCTTGGCTACGGTGCAGGAGGCGCTGCAGTGCATCTACAGCTAATGCACAAGGATATGGAGACGTTTGTAAAGGGTGCCATATCCATTAGTGGAGCAGCCACATCTCCGTTTGCTCTGCAAAGTAGTGGACGTGAGGACGCTTTTCGGTTTGGTAAAGTTCTGGGCTGTAAAAAAATCAAGTCTTCGTTTGCACTGAAGGAATGCTTCAAGAAAACAATGGGCCACGAAATCGTTAGTTCCGTTAAGAAATTGCAAGTCTTTGACTTTATACCATCTGCAGTCTTTAGACCAGTTATCGAGTCCCCCGACTTGGAATATCCATTCCTCACCGAATCCCCCATTGAGACCATCAAGAGTGGAAGATCGGCCCAGGTGCCATGGTTGGCCAGCTACACCACGCAGAATGGGATCTACAACACTGCGATGCTGCTACAGAAGGATATGAGTGGAAAGGAACTAATTTATGAGCTCAACACTCGCTGGAATGAGCTAGCTCCGCACTTTTTGTACTACCCCAAGGAAATGAATAATTCGCAGAAAAACAGTCACTCTCGCAAGCTAAAGCGGCAGTACCTCGGCTACAGGAACTTCAGCGTCGAAAACTATTTCGATGTGCAGCGCATGTTCACAAATGAACTCTTCAAGAATGGCATCGAGGAGGCTTTGGATGCGCATCGAAAGCATGGAAGCAGTCCTGTATATGCCTATGTCTACGATAACCCAGCTGACAAATCAGTCGGGCATTTACTTGCGAAGAGAATGGACATCTTTATGGGTTGAGTATTTATTAATGACTCCGAATATAAGCGTAAGTTAATATCTATAAGTCTATCCACAGGCACAGGCTTGGGCGACGATTACTATATCTTGATGTACAAACCGATGCGTGGAGCGCTGCGAGCTGATGAGAAACTGGTCTCCTGGAAGCTCGTTAAGATGGTCGAGGAGTTCGCCCAGAGCAGAAAGCTGGCCTATGATGACTGCGTATTCCCAGACAACCGGGGCCAAAAGCAGTTCCAGTTGGTGGTCATCAAGCGCACTCATTGCGAGGTTCAGGAAGCGAGACACTTGCCTGAGACCGTGTCTGACCACTTGCCACCATCTCCGGTAGTAATATTCTAACTCGATGTTTATAAGCCCGTGAATCAATCTGTCAATAAATCAATCAATCAATGAGTCGCTGAGTTCAAAGTCGAGTTGGTATTGTTGTTGGTAAATAAACTATAAAGCAAACTCCAAACAAACTTTTGCTCTTTCCTATAACGATATTTAATGCCGATTAAAAGCCACGTGCTGAGTATTTAACTATCGTATGTATAAGTACAATCGTCAGTCCGATGGGCTTATAGCCAAATATTCAATCTGATATCTTAGCAAAACGAATTCGATAATATAGAACGATACGATATATATAACTATTTAACGGTATGAAAGAAAGTATGATTTAAATTTCTCAAGATCTTATGATGTGAAGGGAGCATCGAAAACTCTTAACTCTAGCAGAAGAGAAACGCTTTTAGTTATTTTGCTAAGTTCTTGAAATTTGGGTATGTATATACTCACATTGACAACACAAGGCCAAAAGTGTATATTAAATATATCTGTGCCCAAAGGGGGGCAAATCAGATAGAGCTGAACGATCAAGAGTATATTCTATTCGGGTCGACACTATATACTGTGAAATATATAGAAATATATAGCAAATCAGAAAAAGTTTTTGGTCAATTTGTTTTGCGTATAAATTATTTATTTTAATTGACATCGATTTGCTATAGATTTTATGGCTGGTCAAAAGTCTTTCGTAGAGTACTCTGGAATTACATTGCCCCTAAAGGAGAAAAGTCATCGTTTTATGGGCATTTTTATCGGTTTTTTGTCAGCTGAATGCAATTGGACCCATCGAAAGTGTTTAAAAGGCCGCAATGTTTGAAGATTCCCAACAAACGCTTTCAGTCAACCAGACTTGCGGTTTGTTTAACTTGTGGTCCAGTGTTGAGTAAACCATGAAATATACACTATTTGTGATCGCCTGCCTGTGCATAGCGGCCGCACTTGGTGATGACCTTTTGGTGCAGTTGCCGTTCGGGACACTGCGTGGACGCGACCGCGGAACCTATTACACCTACGAGTCGATCCCGTTCGCCATGCCACCAGTTGGCCCGCTGCGCTTCGAGCCGCCTCAGCCCTTTGTGGGCGAATGGCGTGAGACCTTCGATGCTTCAAAGCCGGCGGTGGAGTGCCTGCAGTGGAGTCATTTCGTGACGACGCCCGATCAGCTGACGGGCAGCGAGGACTGTCTGACCATCAGCATTTACAAGCCGAAGAATGCTTCGCGCCTCAGCTTCCCGGTAATCGCAAACATATTTGGCGGCGCCTGGTCGTTCGGCGGGCCGGTTCAAACCGGAGCCAGAGAGTTCATGGCGAGCGGAAATGTGATCGTTGCGAAGATTAACCATCGAGTGGGCATTCTGGGCTTTGCGAGCACCGGCGATGCTGGCTGGTCGGGCAACTATGCGCTTAAGGATCAGCGTTTGGCCCTCCAGTGGATCAAGAAATACATTTCCTTTTTCGGCGGAGATCCCACAAACATTCTGCTCCTTGGATTTTCGTCGGGAGCTTCCTCAGTTCATTATCAAATGTTGCACGAGGATATGTCCGACATAAAAGGAGTCTATTCCATGAGTGGCAACTCATTGGCGCCGTGGGCACTGCAGCCGAGTCCCCGTGAACAGACATATGAGCTGGGGCGTCTCTTTGGCTGCGGCACTCCCCGCAATACAGCAGTTCTGAAAGACTGTTTGAAGGCGGTGAATGCGATTGATTTAGTAAGAGCCTTTCAGCACTTCCTCATCTTCAACTATGTCCCCTTTGCTCCGTTCTCACCCGCCCTGGAGCCCGAAGATGCGGTTGATCCCTTCATCACCAAGCAGCCCATCGACATCATCAAGAGCGGCAAATTCGCTCAAGTTCCCTGGCTAGCTGGCTATTGCCAAGACGAGGGCATCTACAATGCTGCATCACTGCTGGCCAAGCTGCCGGAAACGGGCAAGGAGAGGCTCTATGAGCTGAACTCGCGCTGGTACGAGCTGGCGCCGTACTTCTTCTCGTACCGCAACACCCTGAACAAACGGGAGAGGGACGCACGCTCCCGAAGGCTTAAGCTGCAGTATCTGGGCACCCGCAACTTCACCTTGGAAAGCTATTACGATATGCAGCGCATGTTCAGCAACGAAATGTTCAAGAATAGCGTCGAGCTGGCAGTAGATGTTCAGCGAACGTATGGAAAGAGTCCAGTCTACACGTACATCTACGACAATCCGGCTACTCAATCGATTGGTCAACTCATAGCAGGGCGCACTGATTTAGTCCTAGGTACGTTATTTTATTTTTGACTATAGCACCTATATAGCACCTAATGTCAATCTATCAATCTGCAGGCACGGCTCACGGTGATGATTATTTCCTGATGATGGATAGTACAATACGCGAACCGCTCCGCCCCGACGAGAAGCTTATCTCCTGGAAGCTAGTTAAGATGGTGGAAGGATTTTTCGAAACGGGTCAGTTCGTCTATGACAACTGCGCCTTCCAGGACAACGTGGGCAAGAAGAAGTTCGATCTGGTAGTTATTCAGCGCACCGCATGCAAGAACATCCAAGCAAACAGCTTGCCCGACGCTGTCTCCGACCATAAGCCCAAAATTCCAGTTATACCTACATAATTACAAATTGTAGAGCATTTCATGTATAAATTGGGGATATGCCACAGAAAACAGAAAACTGGCTAGGCTAATAAATGAAAGCAAGCAAAAAAAAAAAAAAAAAGAATTTTTACTTTTATTTAAAATAGTGTCAATTAGAAATATCAAGAATTAAGTGGAAATATTATAGTAAGCATTCAAAATCCAAAATGCGTTTTAGGCAGAGCATCGAATGGAATGGCATCATGATTGCCCATTGAAAATAAAATATTGATTGTGATTGATTGTGATTTAAACTGAGAGAGTACTTCGAATAAATGCACTGCTAAAGTGACCAACAAAATAATAGTAATAAAATCAATAAATAATACAAACTAAGTGAAAAAGTAAATAAACAATAAATAAATAAATATGT